CTCGCTCTCTCTCTCTCTCTCGCCTCGCGCGCGCTCGCTCGCGCGCGCGCGCGCGCCGCGCGCGCTCTCTCTCTCTCTCTCTCTCTCTCTCTCCTCTCTCCTCTCTCTCTCTCTCTCTCTCTCTCTCTTCTCTCCCTTTCTCTTTCCTTTTCTCTCCTTTGTCTCTACCTGTGCCCCCTCTTCCCACCTCTTGTCCCCCCCTTTAAATCTTGAACAACAAATTGTGTTCTGCTGCAAGTACGATCTTCTGAGCCTTATTGCCACGAACCCCGTTGGGACTTCGTTTTGAAAGGAGGTCGCGGTGAAATGCGGTGTTATGACTGAACATCTGCGCGGAAATTGTGAGAAAACCTGCAATTCGATAGCCCCGCGAGCTGTACAAGTGTGAGATCAACACTTATTTGAGTAAAGAGTGTGAATCGGGGATTGAAATGTGTGTGATCACTGGTGGTGTGCGCTAGTGGCTTGTATTGATCTTGATGTGATTGGGAGTGGTGCGTGCGAGGTTTGTACTTCGAAGAGAAAACATTGTTTTTTGTATTCTTTAATTCTACGGACTTCCAATAAAAATGCGATATATTGATACCTGTCTCTGCCTTTATGGTTTTTTTCTATGCCGTTACCCAAGAACATCTAACCAGGAGTGCCCCTCCCTCAATCCCTGTGACGCAGTAAGCCGTACGTTAACACCAGAAAACATAAAATCAAGTCGCGGCACTCCCAGCTAAGAAGATGAAACAAACGTAAAAGAGCAGGCGAAGAGGTGAAGCAGACCCGAAGGAATTGTGTTATGTGATAGGTAGGGAAAAATCATAGATTGTGAAGGCTTAAAGTAGTCATTAGCCAAAGTCAGCTAATGATAGCCCGCTATAACCGCCCAATAATCTACAACCACTCAATTTACCGTGTTCGTGAGGGCTATAAACGGTCACACAAGTCAGAGGGGGCAACTACCTTGGTCATTTTGTGCTGGGTTTTGAGCTGGATGTCCAGGGAGTCCACCCAGCTGAGCAAAAGCTTGTTGCTGTGTTTGTGTTGAACATGACAAAGGAATGCTGGCAAATTTAGAGAAACACTGGCACTTAGGGTTACAGGGGTGTACAAAGGCAAGCTGGTACTTTATTATGATCATACCAACATTTGAACCTATTGAGATATTATAGCATGCAATTAATCCGTTGCATGACGTTATATCAGTAATTCACTCCGGCAGTAGGGGCTGCTGCGTGCAGCTAATTAATGACATGCTCAGTATAAGCTCGCATTATATGGCTTTACAAAATTGTCTCCGTAAAGAATCATGAAACTATAGAGCTGTACATTATTGATGCACATTGTACTGTGTTCACAAATCTTGTATGCAGGTAAGCATTGTTCGTGAGTCATCAATGCCATAGTCACTGCAACTTGCATGGGATGCTGGGTGCTTGAGAAAGGTGGAAATTATTGCTGTTGGTGTCTGGATAGCAACCAATAATATGTTTATCATGAGTCTTGTGCGCACTGGCAGCTTCATCACTTCCTTACATTTTGCCCATCCAGCCATAGCTACATGCACTTATCACATCTACAGCCTCGTGCAAGATCATCATGTTTGCAGTGTCATTTCACCACATGTAAAATTTTCCGGTTATTTTTTAGTAAAGCAGCCTGATGGATGCAGCATGTTGTATGACTGTGAAAGTGGAACATGTGTTTGCATTTTTCTCACCTACATTTTGTGGATTCCCAAAACAGGCTGAGCAAGTGATGCCACTTATTGGTTGTCTGCTTTGCTGAAGGTGATTTACATACCGTGTTATGTCTTTTTGGTCAGTCATATGTCAGATGGTGAGTCAATACAAGATAGCACACTTTACCTATCTTTTCATGATATAATGTATTATGAAGGCAGCATGGATTGCCGTACAAAAACCATATCGTTGTTCATTATGTCATGCTACAGTACAGCACCGAGGAAGGCCACAGTTAAGCTGTTGACCCGTGCCCATGGGCGTAGGAACAGGGGTGGGGGGATCAGGGGCCATGGCCCTCCACTTTTCAAGGTGGGGGGGGGGGTGGGCAACAGTGTTAACTGCTCAACCCCACTTTTCAGGTTAAGGTTTTGTTTAGCCTACCATTGCTCCACATCTAAATATGCATGCCGATTTACCTAGTTCACCAGCCATTTTCCTCAAGATGCGTCGTCTTTTTCGTTTGCTTATTGGCGATTGCTTAATGTCGCAGCCGCAAGCCGACGCCAAGCAGCCTACGGAGACTGCAACCCCGGGCGTTCAGGCTGTTGCTGCTATGACTTGCGAGCGCGTATGTTCAAAACCATATTACATAGTTTTTATCAGTGATCAATTCTGACTGAATCTTGAGCATTTTAAGACGAACATGGATTAGCCATGTTACACGCCCAGGGCCCCATTTCATCTACAATCTACGTTCAGGGATTCCTCGATATCTCTGAAGAAAACAGAAAAGCACGGAACTGGAGCCTGTGTGACAATTATTGGACCACCTTTGGCGATCAGGGGTGTTGCTGCGTCAATGAGGGTTCCTGTGCTGATTCGGGCCGACTGCGCGGATCAGAAGGCCTCCCGTGTCAGGGAGGGAAACAGCGTGATATGATATATCCTTCCAATGGCCTCCGGATCGACCAGGAGATCCTACCCGTGTCGCTAAAATGAGTCAGAAAACGCTTCGCGATGGGACGGAGTGGCCTTCAGCTCTTGACCGAAACCGGTAATATGCCCTTGGTGCTCTACTCAAGGGGCCACTTGCCCGGATGAAAATAAGCGACCTCATTATTGTTGAGTAAAGTGGAGGTCTCATTAT